GAGTCCCCATCCCTGGAGGTATTTAAAAGACGAGTAGATGAGGCACTTAGGGACATTGTTTAGTGGGTGGTGGTGTTGGGTTGATGGTTGGACTCGATGATCTTAGAGGTCTTTTCCAACCTCAATGATTCTATGATTCTATGGTCATGAAACCCCACATTTTAACTCTTCACTTAAAAGTAAGAGTTTCTTTCTTTTTCTGTTTTTTTTTCTTTTACGGTAAGGACACAGTGATAATGGCACTTTTTTTACAGTTTAAACTGTAAAACAGACCTTTGCTATGCTGACATGCATCAACTACACCCCCCGTGCTGGTGGTTGCTTCTTACTCATCCTCAGTCACTGCCATAGCACACTCAAAGCCATCCCTCCTCGGCGATCATGCCTGACTGTGAGTGCCCAACACCACAGAGCTGACCTGTGTAACTAGCACTGGTGGCCACGGTCCTTCACGGCCTCAGTCACTGCAGTGGAGGTGATCACTCCCAGGAGCTCTTCAATGAGGAAAGCTGGATCTGAAGTGGGCATCTGCTTTCTCGTCCCCACCTCCAAATTTGGTCCTTTTATATGGTGGTTGAGTTTTAAGGCAATTCCCAGCCCTAGGTCTCCATCCCGGGCTACACGCTGCCCGATTCTGGCGGGGATGTTACTTGCCAGACTGCACTAGGTGCCTCACACTGCTGCTCACTGTTTCTTTCCTTGCTCAGCTGCTGCTCCCTTTCCTAAAGCAGAAGCAGTCTTCTCCTGTGTTTCTTCCTTGCGCTTTTTCAATGATGAGTAATGGCCCATCGGTGCATTGTCAGTTGTGCTGGGGACTCTTTCCTCAACCGGTGCCCATATTTTCAAGGCCTTTGCTGTTATCCCACCCTTAAACTATGCAGACACCTGGTGCCAAGCTCTGTTCACCCAGTGAGATGATAACAAACCTGTGACCCCTGTGCCGAGGCAGTGCAGCCTCACTGACAGTGAGGAGCACTGAGGAAAGGCCAGCATCCCTTGGGAAATAAAGAGCCCACCTCAGGTCCAGCCTGCGTGGGGACTACCATTGCTTTTAAAGAAGGCCACATGTGTAAGTGATTGCAATGAGCCTTCCTGTGGCTTTATGTGAAATTCCCCAAAAGACTGCTCTCGAGTATCAGAGTTTGTTTATGGTAATGAAGGCCCAGTGCCATGAAGCTAGCAAGAATATGTCCCAATGGTGCTTTTTAGAAGCTTTTCACCACTTTGGATAAAATGCTGCTGACAAAATTTCGATCTTGAAATCTCCTGCAACCAGCAGATAATTAAGAAATGTTGCTGAGTCACACCCGCATAGGGTAAGTGCCTCCCTGGGGCACGGCTGGGAACACCGATGCCTATTTCAGATGTGTCCCCAAATGCAGCAGATGTGAATGATTAAGTAACATACCCAGTGGCACATTCTCTGCTGACTCATTTGCTGCACTGCTACTGAGA